CGGCGAGGGTGGGGAGGCCGGCGCCGCCAACTCCTTGCTGCCGCGGCGCGGAGGAGTGAGGAGCCAGGGCGAACTTCCACCTTCGGCGCTGGCACCGGTGCCTCGCTCCGCGCTGGATCAGGATGGTGGGGCTGACAGCCTCAGACGTGCCCCCGACCATGGCGGTCAAGATCTTCTCAGCCGGAGTGGCGGCCTGCGTGGCGGATGTGATCACCTTCCCGCTGGACACGGCCAAAGTCCGGCTACAGGTAGCGAGCGCGATGGGGATGGAGGGGTAGAGAGCGAACCCCTACTGTGTGCGCCTTTGATTCTGTCTTTGGTTAAAACATCCTCTCTCACTTTAGGTAGGGCAGGTGCCTACTGTGAAAAAGTTGGACCTGTCACAGGATGGATGCGTTAGGGTGGGAAACTGGAATTTTTCCGGAATTAACTGAAGAACCACAGGGTCACCGAGGATGTGTTCACCATGACTGTTGCCAAACTTCCCCAAAGTTAGGGAGCGCTAAGTGTTCTAAGAGCTAAGGATATCAGCTTCTCCCGAGTTTACAAGCCAAGTTCTTTCTCCTTCCTTCTAATTAGGCGGAAGCACCTTCGGATCCTACTTCCTTGGGTTTCTGGAAAGTTCATGGGAGTGGGTATGTTCAAACATGCATAGTAGCCAGATTCTCTCTCCTTCCCCTCTTTCTCTCTCGACAGAGAGAGAGATGGGGGAGATGTTGCTGAGAAGGGAAAAGGAATTGAAAATAGTGGAAAATAATGGGAAAGAATCTTGGCTAACGGTTTCTCTACAGAGGCTAACCTGATGCCAGTATTTGTGTTTTTCTCACCAGGTGAGACTCCCTTACTCAATTTTCACTGCCCTCTGACCTGTACTCTTTCTCATTTCCAGATCCAAGGCGAATGCCAGACCTCCCGAGCTGTTAGGTATAAAGGTGTCCTGGGAACAATCACCACTCTGGCAAAAACAGAAGGGCCAGGGAAGCTCTATAGCGGGCTGCCTGCTGGCCTACAGAGACAAATAAGCTTCGCCTCTCTTAGGATCGGCCTCTATGATACCGTCCAGGAGTTCTTCACCACAGGGAAAGAAAGTAAGCAAGCAGGGAGCTGTCCTGGGAGGGGTGACAGTCAGAGACTCCTCCGGGACTGTTCTGTTAAAAAAAAAAAAGTGGTGCGCACAGAGTAGTGGTCTTCATAACAGACTGGCAAGCAAACAAACATCAATATTTGAAATTCCTCCTCTACCCCCAAAATACTAGCTTGGTACTCACTGTTCATAGGGAGAGAAAGAAGTGTTCAAAATCGATTTTTCAGATGCAGTTTATCACTCACTCAGGTATGGAAGGCTTGGGCCTAATTTGGATATCCATCTGGAGAAGAAGCATACTTTGTGAAATAATATTTAATTCAAAGTCCCCCCAAGTGAAGTCTGTCAGAAACACCTGTGGAGCTTGTTAGACATCCAGATGCCGAGGACTGCCCTGTACCCTGAATCCGAATCACTCGGATTAGGCCCGGGAATCTGTGTTTATCACAAGTTTCCCTGGTAATTTTAGTATGCAACAAATCTGAAAACCTTTGGTTTGAAGAGAAGAAAACCAGAATTCCCTAACTCCAAACACTAAGGGCTTATTTCCTTTAAGAAGACTGGGGAAGACCAGAGTAAAAAGAGTGGGCTTAAGTTGTAGTGAGTTTGTCTAGGGAAAGAAGAAACTGAGTGTATACCAAGAGTTCCTGATGGCTTAGTTAGCGTTTATTTGAGTGCTTACTATAAGCCAGTTACTGTTCTAAGTGCCTCAGATACATCATCCCTGCAAAGATTACTATTAATTTTATCCTTTGATAAAACAGGAAGCATAGAGCAATTTTATAACCTGCCCAAGGTCACACAGTTGGAAAGGGGCAGAGTGAGAGTTCAAATCCAGGCAGGCTGGCCTCTGACCTCAGCTTTTAACCACAGTACAGTCTTGCCTCCTGCAATTTGCATGTGATTCTGTGCATCACTCAATCCATACAAAAATGCTGGTAGGTGCAAAATGCTGTCCCCATTTTCAGATGGGGAGACTGAGTATTAGAAAAGTTAAGTAAAGACCACCCAGCCAGCAAGTATCAGAAACACTTCCATGTAAAGCACACAGTCCAGAGAGATGTACAGATGGGGAAGTGAATATGAGTGACTACCTTGGCAGATTTCATCATTTCTGCTTTAAATGACCTTTGGATAACATAACTTTATGGGACACGTTATAATTATTATTTATACCAACAATATAAATTTAAATTTATCCACACTACACTTTCAAAGTAAAGATAAAGTCTGGATGTTTCTAGATCAATACTGCATTTTCTTATTTACAAATGTAGCAAGAGAGGAAGCATAAAGGATGTAAAGCTGCCTATTCTGGTGGTATTGTTCACAATTGACTGTTCTAAACAATTGTTGGGGTCTTTCTTTTTCTTCCTTCCTTCCCTTCCCCTTTTCCATTCCATTCCTTTCCTTCTTTCTTTTTTCAGTTTTATTGAGATATAACTGAGATACAGCACTGTATACATTTAAGGTATATAGCATAATGATTTGACTTACATACATCATGAAGTGATTATCACAGTAAATTTAGTAAACATCTGTCATATTCCTATTGCAAGACCCCATGTTAAGTGCTATATTGGTATTATTTTAACTCACACAATGGGTCTGTGAGGTAGACATTATTACCTCTATTATACAGATTAGGAAACAGAATTAGAGAGACTGAGAATGTCCTTGATGTGTAAATGTGATTGGCCATGCTTTCATTATAGGAATGGGTCTTGGACTCCTATTTGGAATTTTACTAAATGATATCTGTCTTGAGTAACCTAAGCTAACTTTTCAAAATTGCAAACAAACAGAAAAATCACTCCATTAGTTTCCTTCTTGTTTTTGTCCCCTTTGTAGCCTGACACCACTTGATGTCCCATATTGGGACAGGTTGTCCACTTGGGTTCTTCCTAAGACCCTGAAGTCCAATCATTAACATTCTCATTGATGGGAGGAAGACTGAGCATCCCTGGTGCCTCCTCCCAGTTGGAAAATACTGAAAAACAGACCTAGAGATAAGAAAGAACTGAGCAAAATATAGGAAAGAACTAAGACACTATTTAAATAGGCAGTGTGTTTTCTTTTCCTTGAAAGCCTTTATTTTAAAAAATTTCAGTCACCTTTGAAGTCTTCTAGCCCTGCTATAATTTAGTACATGTTTAGTATATGATTGACACGTGCACCAGCATTAGGGAATTACAAAAGATACAATGACACAATAATATTAACCACTAAATTAAAAAGACAGATACATTCTGGGTCTTGTTTTTTGTTTTTGTTTTTTTCTTTTTTGCTTGACACATCGTTTTTCTCTCTGATAATAACAGCTAGTTTAGGAAGCAAGGTCTCAGCGGGCCTCACAACTGGAGGCGTGGCCGTGTTCATTGGGCAACCCACAGAGGTGGTGAAGGTCAGACTGCAAGCACAGAGCCATCTCCATGGTCCCAAACCTCGCTACACTGGTACCTACAATGCTTACAGAATTATAGCCACTACAGAAGGTGTGACGGGGCTCTGGAAAGGTAACTCACTTCAAGATGCATTTTACCATCTTCAGACACATGTATCCAACTGGCACCTTATCGTATAATGGAGCCATTAAGCACTTTCTTGTCTTCCAGGGACTACTCCCAATCTGACAAGAAATGTCATCATCAATTGTACAGAGCTAGTGACGTATGACCTGATGAAGGCGGCCCTTGTGAAAAACAAACTATTAGCAGGTAACTGTCTTTTTACACAGCAAGTCTGCACATTTATAGTTTCATCTTGGAGTTTCTCCAGCCATGTTATACTGAAACCCTCAATTGTAATAGTTTTCTTTTTTAAAAAATTAAGTACTTTTGAACAATACAGTATAACCAAAACCCTAAGTTTTAGAAGTTTTGCTGCAACAGTTTTGTTTTTTGCAACAAAACCAAGAAGCAACTGTATTCTTACATCAGCATTATTCTCATTTAATACTAATAGATGAGATTTCTGTTAGCATCTTACGCTTAATAAAGCAGAATTCAGGAAGTGAGTCCACCCTACACTATATCCGGATGAGCTAGTTACATAAGGAGCTCCCAGTGGTTTCGGCAAAAACACAGTACCATTGAATAGATTCCTAAAGTTTTTATTCAAACAGGTTCTGGAGACATTGAAATTCTCCTTGGACAATGACTTTAATTCAATAAAAAGTATTCGATGCCTATGTATCGAGCATTATGTCATGCCCTAAGGACGCAGAGAAAAGTGACAGGTTATTTTCCTAAAGCACTTACAATCTAAGGTACTTATACTTAACCTTCCTTATTGTGTTTATTGATAAGACATCGTGTTGATCTCCTGTTATCAACAGGTTTACAAAGATCTGATAACTGAAAATGAGAAGCCCCTCCCAAAGTCTGGTGTTGACCTGTTTCATTGGTCCATTTCAGATGACGTGCCCTGCCACTTTGTGTCCGCTGTTATCGCTGGATTTTGCACAACTGTTCTGTCCTCTCCAGTGGATGTGGTGAAAACCAGGTTTGTTAACTCTCCACCAGGACAGTACACAAGTGTGCCCAACTGCGCAATGACGATGCTTACTAAGGAAGGACCATCAGCTTTCTTCAAAGGGTAGGTCTTCCTCATCTGTAATGCTGTGGTCAGGGTATCTGTGTGCTGCAGGGTGCTGTCTTGTCTAAACAATTGACAATTAGCTGACCAGCCTTAGTATGTGCAGTATACTTAGTGTCTACTTTTCCTCGCCATAAATTTCTCCAATCCACCAATTCCACTGTGCCAGAAAATTTAAAGCTGTGATATTAAAACTTTCCCAGGCTTTGAAGAGGCTCTTTCAAAGCCAATGACTTCCTCCTTGGTCTTCACCTATCAGAAATGTAGACAGTATTCTGCCTTCTCTGGGCAGAAGTATAAAATGGAAGGAAAACATAATAGAGGGCTATGAGAAAACAAGATTTGATTTTCACTATTTTAATTTAATAGGCCCTGTTTTTTAGATTGTATTCAAGCAAAACTAGAGAAAAATCATTGTTACTGATCTAGAAAAGCTATGTAGAAAATGATGTAGTTTGGTGATTACACTCACCTAGAAACTACTATCACATAATGGATCATAATTTCCCATAAAGCAATATTGTAATATATTATATTATAATCACCTTCCTAAGAAAATATAGTATGAACTAATTTATGGGTATACTCCACAAGGATTACACGTGGTAAAATAACAGAATTCTATGAACTTAAAAAATTGTAAGGCAATGCCTCAAACCTTATAAGCATAAATGCATGGCACACATTATACAAGAGCTGCTAATTCACCATAATCTGCATTTATGACACATTAACACAAATGGAATATATTGTAAAATTAACTTAAAATAGATGTATCAGTTATCAACCAGTAGCCATTTAACAATAATTTTATTTTTTTCAAGTTTAAAAACTTCTGGGGGGATACATGCTACAAGGGTGTACCCTGAAAACGTTATGCTAAATAAAATGAGCCAGATACAGAAGGACAAACATTGTATGAGTCTACATATATGAAGTAAAATTCATAGAAACAGGAAGCGCAGCAGTGGTTACCAGGGGCTGAGGGGTGGAGGAGCAGGGAGTTGTTTTTTAATGTGTGCAGAGATTCCATTTGGAATGACCAAAGGTTCTGGAGATGGAGAGTGGTGATGACTGCTCACAATGAGAACATATTGAATGCAACTGAATTATACACTTAAAATGGCTAAAATGATAAATTGATGCTATGTATATTTTACCACAGTTAAAACACACACAACACACACACATCCAGGAGTCAGAAGAAATGTTAAGAGAGCTGCCAAAATCTTTGGGGCTGATTTTTATGGGCCAGATCTCTAAAATATCTATACAAGGCAGACTGAACTGATGCCATCTTTTTCTTCTGGAATATTTCATTGCTGTGAACAGGCATTCAAAATCAATCGTTAGGCCTGCGCAGTTGGGCAGAATTCTTAAAAATAACAAGAGCAACAACAACAACAAAACGCAGTTAGATCCTGAGAATCTTAGGACAAGAATCGCCAAGATCTAGACTTGGCATTAATTTCTCGACTCCGGAAAATGGTCCTATGTACTCATCACTTTGCTTTCTCCTCTTACTTTCTCTTCTAAAGTTCCCTACTTCCCCTTCAGAAAGCAAAGCAAGACCAAAAATTCCTTTTCCCTCAAAAAAGGAGAAAAGATCACAAAAAAGGAGGCAAGCTCTGGTTTGGTGGGACTGTGTTTGTACTGATGTAATCACCTGGGTATCGTTCTGATGCAGGATAGGGCATCTGGATGAAACTTCATGTTAGGCAGAGGAGGGAAAGATGAGGAATAGGTACTTCTGAGCATGTGCACTGGGGAAGAGTGGCGAAAGGAGACGCATGAACTGCCTGTACTGTAATAGCTCTGAGAACTTCATGCAAACTAACGGAATGCTGACATGCACTTTTCCAGATTTGTACCTTCCTTCTGGCGACTCGGATCCTGGAATGTCATTATGTTTGTGTGCTTTGAACAGCTGAAACGAGAACTGATGAAGTCAAGGCAGACCGTGGACTGTGCCACATAATCATCTTCAGGGAAGGGATGTAACAGACCAGTGGGCATCTTTGCTAACTGCATAACTTCACAAAGCAAACAAACCTATTAACTTTATTTCACCCTAAAAAGATCAGGGAATTCTGATAGAGTGTTTTGGACTATTTTTCTTTTTTTCAAAGGAAAACTAATACCTATTTCTTTTGACTTTTATTCTCAGTGTTTTAAGGAAGGGAAAGCAGACACCCTGGCAAATGTAGTATCTAGATAAGTTACTGCTAATGATTGACCATTTTTATGGGAGAGGGATTTTATAATTGAATATGAAGAACTTTAAAATGTTTTATTAATGCAAACTGATGGAAAAGAAAGACTGAGCAAGATGCACTTTATAAATGCTTAAAAATGAAGTTACCGAAGAAAATATTACTGTCTCCTTTTTATTAACCCAGTTGTCAGTTAATATATTCAATAAAGTATTGCAAATACCTTTTAGTTTGTCGTTTGGGTCTATAGTGAATGTAAGAGTTGAAGTTCACCTAGATTATAAAATTGCCCAAACAGCAAGGGAAGGTCTTTAGAATCAATAGGCATAAACTTACTTTAAATGTTATTAAGTACATATTTTTAATTTTTAGAGTCTATTTTATGGCATCTAAGACAACCTCTCATCTAAGACACCATATTCATTTGGGCATTGTTGTTATTAGAGTCATTGTATCTGTCCTAGAATCACAGGAGTTTAGAGCTAGAAAGTTCCTTTGGTTAGAGGAACAGCCTGAGATGAAAATGAATCTTCATGGCATCTTTCCAGCAAAGCCAGTTGTTACAGTGTTAACCGTGAATGTGTCTTGCAGCAGACATTGTGTGCTGCAGGTATCACTTTGCTCAGACCACTTTAGTGCCTGCTGGCTTGACTTCTTGTCAACATGTCAGCACCTGTATTTTTTAGGGTCTTCTGGCCACTGGAGACATCCCTGCCCACCTGTGCATGGGGCACTAGAAGAGCAGGGAAAGTAACACACCCCTGGGAGCAGCCCTTGACCAGTAACTGGCGGGAGTTGGTGTGAGTATCTCAGGCCCCTTGCTGTCAGGTGGCATTCCTCTGAGGGGTCGAAATCCAGTGGCAGAGTGGTATTTTGCCTACCTCAGACCCCGCTTAGGGGATGACTTCAAGTCCCTCGTTCAGTTCCACACTCTCTCACCAGGGTTTCCTGGGGTCACCTCCCAAACGAACTACAATCCTTGTTTTGCCGGCTGACTCTGGGAGAATCTAAACTAAGGCCAACCACAGCCTTAGAGTAGCATGTTTCAAGAACAAGGAAGGAAACGTAAAATTTCATTTCTTTGCTGGGACCCTGGTCTGGCCATGGGCAGTAGTGACAAGTTGTTCCCCCTTGACCAAATTTTAGTCAGGAGCCTCAGTGTTTATCAATACTGTTAGTCTTTTCAAACAACATTTTATTTTTGTTGATCCTTTATTTTTGTTGTGTGCATGTTTTCTTTTTTATGCATCTAAGCTGTTGTTTTTAACATTTCCTTCTCTATTTTCTTCAAGTTTATTTTGTACTTCCCCATCAAACTCCTTGCTTTGTCTTTCATTTTAAGCTCTTCTTTTTCCTAATATACATTTAAAATTATAATTAGTACTAACTATAATAAGTACTGCTTTAGTTGTACCCAGCCAGTTCCATATGTAGTATTTTTTATTTAGTTCAAAATTAGATACACAAACACACACACACTGGAATGCTTTGCAGCTGTAAAAAAACAGAATAAGGAAGCTATGTGTTAATATAAAAATAGATCTTTGATACATTGTAAAGTTCAGAAAAACAAACTGCCGTACTGTATGAATACTCCTATCCTTTCTAAGAATGAGGGAGTAGGGCGGTGGTTTCTTTTCTGGTCTCATAACCAACTGCTCTTATCCAGTAACATCTTAAATGGGTAATTGGTGGAGAGTTAAAGTCACAAAAATTTTAACAGTATCTATATTCTGACTTACTCTATAGGAACATGATTAAAGGATCAAATAAGAAAAGTATTATTTCATGAACATAAATGACTTAAATAAAGGACGGGGAAGATGGGAAGAGAGCAGAAGTATTAACAGAAAGGCTTATAGCAATTTCAACGTGTTTTTATTTGCTCACAACATTCCGAACAAAGTGACATCACATTTCAACTATTGCTTTTACATAAGAAGTTAATTGCTTTATCCAAAGTAGACAAAAATCTATTTCTTTAAGTTGCCAACCAGCACTCTTTCCCCCAGGGAAAGCTACTGCTTAAATATTTTTTGAATACTTTTGTTTAGCAGAAACATAGACTTGCCCTATAACAGTGATGTAGTAGCTGGGTCTCACCTGCATTACATTTGACATTTTCCTTATCCAAAGCTGAAGCCAGGGGGAAAAAAGCTCGCTCATGTGTTCTCTCAGATTTTTACCAATTCCATTAATCTTAATTAAAAAAAACTGCTTGTGTGGAGAGGTGCATAAATATGAAAGTGGAAATTAAGCCTCCCCAGATGTGGGCTGGACTATTTGTCCTTAGAAAGTAGCTGCTGTTCCCCAATCATTAATTCAAGAATAAGAATAAACATTATTGCCCTCCAAGCCAAACTTCTCTTCTGTGCCAAGACAACATGCAGTCTTTTCTGCTCAAGAAATGAACATTCCACTTTCACACTCATGTAATGCTTCTCCTTTGAGCAAATCTTTGACCAAGTTCTGTTTCACTGAGTGCAAAGGGGAGAAATGGTACATAAACAATCATGAACACTGGAATAAAAATGAAGAGTACATATATTCTCACATAGAAAAATACATACAAATCCAAGCAGCTCCTAAAATAGAAAAAAGTCAGGAAGGGCATTTTTAAGAAAACGATTCTGTTTTCCAAATTGTAAGTGGTGCTAGCAAGACACTGAGTTTCTATCTAACTCTATCACCACATTTATATACAAAGAGGGGTTGGTCTAGGTTCACTGATATCCCCTGATTTCTCTCGTTTCTTTAAAGATTGTCTTTCAGAACGTATTTGAACTACAGCCACTGTAATTATATTCTTAGACTATTTTTGTCACTGGTAGACTCTTCAGTCTGGCACATACAAAAATTCATTTCAACACTGATGCACTTTTTTGATGCTAAAACAATTTTCCTGCTACTTCAAGTCTATCACTACTTTGGTATTTTATTAATTATTATAGAAACAGGTCTAAGATTTTGTTTATGGATTTTTAGACTACCTAAAATTCTAACATACATATGTTGAAAGCAAGGAAAAGTAGGAAGGCAGACACAATTACCACATTTTTCTTTTCATGTACATCACTATCACATAAAAGTCAGAAGGCTCATGTTACATTCTAATTTACAACTGGTGACACTTGGCTTCCAGACTATCAAACCTTAGAATCTGTTGGTGGCTTTTACTACCAGTTTACTACAGAACTATTTGAAATGGTTACTAATTATTTTAAGCAAAAACAGAACAATATCTATTTATACAAACAGAGGTGGACTTAGAAAACATATTACTGAGCAAAATTTCTAATGACATTTAAAAAACATTACTAAAAAGTTTTATTTTTCCATAGGAGGGGAGAACTTAATTGAAAAGTTTCCTCCTCCCTACTTGAAACATTCTTTTATTAAGGACACTGACAAGGTTTAAATCAGTTCAAGACCTCATCTGTTAAAAGATTAAAACATAAAAGATAAGTATTTTCTAAACAAAAATTAGAAGACTAACAAAACTGCTTTCCATGTAATAGTAAACATTTGGATAAAATGAACTTTAATGGTTAGTACCTGATCCTTATTTCACAGAACTCTAGCTGGATGATAAAACATAGAAAACATTTAAAGAAACTAAGTTAAGATACTCACAAGGTTGAGAAGTCTCCTACAAGAAACCAGTTTTAAAATTCCTATAATACTGAAAAGCTAAACTACCACTATTGTAATAAAATGAGCCCAATTTTAAAGTTTTATCTTGTTAAGAAAATAAGAATTTTAATGCATGCACTTTTAATATATGTGCTCAACAACACTGCATCTGTTATTTTCCAGTAGGATTTTTTTTTAACCACTCTTCTCCTTGGCAGGTTTGAAGAGAGAGGTATATCGATAGACATGAACAAATACTTGAAAGTCTCAGGTCTTGCTTTGTCACATAAAAGACAGTCCTTCAACACCTGATATATACCACCTTAAAGGTGTGCTAACTGTGATGTTTTAGATTAAATTATGTGTTTAATAGGCTGGTTTCTGTAGGATTTAAGGAGAATTAAGTAATCAGATGAACCTATCTTTAAACTCTTTTAGTTTTGCTATGACTACAAATGTCTAAAACACACAAAGAAGAACTCATTCCCATTAGAATCTCATCACTATATAACCCTTGACAGCACTTGCTCTCCTGAGGTTTTGGGGGTATAAAGCTACACAAAATGCACAGTCATCATCCTCAGGCTACTGTGGAATCCCACAGACTGTTAACTCGAAGGATACCCACAAAGTCCACTCATCATTACCTAGAAACCCAGTGGAGTCAAAGCAAAGAAAAGCAAGACTTAACAGCAAGTAAAATGAACCAACTGATGTTTAACTGAGATATTTAAAAAGCTTTGTTTTCCTCTTGTTAAAATTCCAACACAGCTTTATTGAACTAGCACCTGTCCTTTGAATACAATCAAGATTTTCTTAGCAAATGCATCTCTTTTCATAAACATATAGGAAAGCCTCATTAAAAGGCCCTGACACCAAGCACTAAGGTTCTTTAACTGATAAAAAGCAAATGCTGAAGATGAGAAAATGACTTTAAGCTTTAAAATAACACTGTGATATTTTAAAGTGTGGTATTAAAAAAAAAAGGTAATCATCAATACTGTCATTCTCTGGTTATCTATTACACGAAATTATCAGAGAAACCAAAAAAGAGGCTATAATTCTTTGTCTTCTCTGATATTTCTATATGCTCTTGTTGCTCCTACTAAGGAGACATTATGATGTGTGATTGAGATGCAAAGAAAGAAGACCATGAACTATTCTATTAACCCAGAAATAAAATAAGACAAAGAAAATAAAAAACAATCATTTCCAGACTAAAAAACAAAAAATCGTAACAGAGCTTTGAAAAGATACCAACTTCATAGCTACAACATATAAAAATTAAAATTGATTTTTACACATTTTAATCAACCAATTCTATAAATACCTGATTTGTACTTTTATACTAAATGGGCTAAGTCCCAAGTTCCAAACTGTAGTTCACATGACTCTACAGAGAGGATCTTTGGAAGAATAAGGTACCTTTGGAGGACAGTGTATAAACAAGTGTAAACATACACTGATTGTCCACTAGCTTTCTTAAATAGAATTTCTGAAATATTTTTGTAAGAAATTATATATAAGGAGTGTAATTGATCGGATAATTTCTATTACAACATATAAATTCTGTCATGTGTGCAAAATGTGGTAAAAATAGAAGATACTACAGATGATTCATATGTTTAAAGTAAGTGATACATTACAATCCAGTAAGAGTCCTTTAATCTTTTCATGAAATTTCTCTCTATACACGTTGAAATACATAATGCTTTCTGGTTTTTCTTCAAACCAAAACTTGTCAAATTCATAGACAAGATAACCTGCAGTTAAAAGAAAAGAAACACATACACACAAATATAGTGCTCAATAGGGAAATCACATCCAACCATCTCATTTCAAAAGTATATAACCATCCTTTAAATTCCATATTAAGATTCAATAATCAGAAACCATATTAAACTACTATAAACCTGAGGAACTTCATAGGAAATATTTTTGTATGTTCAAGATAAATAGCAATTTCAATAACATATCTAGTGAACATTTACTCTTTGTCTCAAAAAGTCAACAAAATCCCTTAAATTTAAGAGATACTGTCAAAGGATATCTTGAGAATAGGAAAAAAAGTTATCCCTAGAAGCCTGAAACTACAAAAAAATGTTGGACGAGGGTGAAGTACAGAGGCGCTGTTTTCTACTTGATTTATAAATCTGAGTCATTTCTGCTTTGTTCAATGAACTATCAGCACTGTCTCTTTAAAAAAAGAATACATGAACTCTAAATACGCTTAATATTTTTTCAATATCCTTATTACAGTAGTTAAATTAATGCTCAGTTAAAAGCATTTAATGAAAATAAATACATAAATAGACATATTTACCACAACAAAAAAAATGTGAATTTTAAAAGCACTCCTAAACCTTATTTGGATTCAACCAAATGTATGAATTTAATTATTTAACAAATGCTACTACAGTCCTCGCCATATGCTCATTCACTCTCACAGCAATCTTGTGATGCACTATGGTATAATCCCCATTTTTGCAAAGAGGAAACAGAGAAGCAAAAGAGGTTAAATGACTTGCCCAAATCACATAGTTTGCAAGTGGTCTCTATTATGTTATAAATTAGACTTTGTTTCCATCAGAATCTCATTCCCCCTTCTGAAAGGCTGTTCAAGAAGGGATAGAAATGACTTAGTTCAGATAAACAGGGGGATAAAGCCAGTAACCTTACACAGAAGTGTGGCTAGACTATCATAATAGCCTAGTATGAAATGAATGGAAAATCCATTTGAAAACATTAGTCCTAAAGCAAACATTAACAGTTAAGAACCATGACATTTCAACACTGAAATATGACTTCATAAGGTCAACTTAAGAGAGAGTTCAGATTAATCCCCTGATATATGATAAAATGGATTTTTATCAACCAGGACATGTGACAAAATCAAAGAATAAGGCCTCTTTGAGCAGAGGGGTGCCATCTGCTTCCTGTTCCCAAAAGACAAGCTGAGAATGCTAATCTTGTAATTATTTTTAACTAATACTTTAAATATTTATCTCATTCTAAATTTATTTTATGTATACATCAGGACAATAGTACATCTATAGAAATTACTAATCCAGGTTTGGATGGAGTTTGTGGTCTCCCCTACCCCCATGCCCAATACACTGATAGGGATTTACAATTAAAAACTTTGGAAAGTAATGTTCTAGGTAGTATGAAAAGTCAAACATCCACCTAAATTTTATAGAATACAATTTGTTTGAGTATTTCTGGCTATCAGCTTTAGCTCTTTACCATTCTTTTAAGTCCTTTAAATTGCTTTTCATTACCTATTCAAATGATGATACAGGTCTGGAATAAACTCAACAGTAAAATATCAGAAATTACTTGCTTCAGGGTGAAGTTGTTAAAATGTAAATTGGTGTCAGAAAAAGACTGAATCAAAAAACTGAGACTGTAATGGTTAAGTTGATTTAATGAGACCTCAGGAAACTACAAGAGATAATACCAAAATTCTAGAATGCTGGCAGGCCCATACATGGCATAAAACTCCTAAAGCTTTGCAGAAAGTGACAGAAAAGAGTTGTTTCCATAAAGCACATCTATTGTCCTTTTGACTCTAAGAGGTTTAAAACATCAGACTTAGTAGAAACACCAAACAAAATTTCTAAACTTAAAATGCCCTATATGCTTCTACTGCCCCTAATCAAAGCCCCAGGAGAATTTCAGGTTTTCTGACAGGGATTAAAAATAGGAGAACCAAAGAAACAGGGATTAACTGTAACCTGGTGTGAGGGATCTTACTGGGGTGGTAAAAATGCTTTAAAACTGGATTATGGTAACGGTTGTATAACTTAGTAAATGTATTAAAACTCACTGAATTGTACACTTAAACTAGGTAAATTTTATGGTTTATAAATTATACCTCAGTAAAGTTGTTACTAGTCATAACTTTTTGTTATACAAATTTGAGGTATTATTTTTTTGGAAGCACCAAACCAATGGTCAGTGACTTCCCAGGATGAGTGACTATCTGCTTACATATCAGATGTACACAAGGTGATGATGGAGCCAAGAAGCTACATTACCACTCACTGCATCCAGTCTTGCCCACAGAGAACAACAACAACAAAATGGCAGGAGGGATAAAGGGGGAAAGGGGAAATGGAGACAGATCACAGGGAAATAAAAACTGTGAAAACTAATCTCTTTTTAGCTCTTTCTTCTGGACAGAAACTATGACCTTGGAACAGATCTGTACAAACGAATTGGGCTCAGTCCCTCAACAAAAAAGGGTATGTCTGTTCAAAAAATTAGGTTTTCATACTATTTTCTAGTTAGAAGATAGGCCTCTTCTAAGAAAAGCAGAGGCTTAATTAAGACATGAAACTTTACTGGTAAAGGGTATAAAAATCAATTTGTGGGTGGAGGGGGAACTACTGCATAAATAATGGATGTGTGTGTGTCTACGTGTGTGTCTGTGTTTTTGCTTTAAATGTTTTAAGAAATTTGAAAAACATAAGCTTCACTGTTTCCAGGATGACCCACAGCTCTTGTGGATCTGACTGACAGAAACAAGGCAACTGAGAAGGTCCTATAATGACCTTTCAATCTCAGATATTACTTTGATGCTCCTCCTAGTCAGGAGCCAAACCATGTTGGTGTTGAGGGCACTAGAAGCAACAGCGCCCAAAGATGTCCCAGTTACCCATTTGCAGGGGGAAGAATTACAGGACAGAGATCATTTTGTACTGCTTTTCTACCTATCACTCTCCTATATTTATGTAAATATAATAAAATGCTTAATTTGGGGGGGAGGAGTTTTTTGCTTGTTTATTTTTATACTTGCTTTATGTTTGATGGGCAGCATTACACAAGCATGTATTTTGTGGAGACAACAAATATCTGGAGGCAGTTAGCAAAGTCCCGGGAGTTTAGGCACTGTGCTAAAAGTCAGTGAGAGATTTAGGAGAGGAAATCAAACAAGACTAGTATAGGGACCAGTTCCCAGCAACGAGATGAAAGAAAGTGACTAGATTTTCATTTTAAGTAACTATACCTTCAGTATGGAGATCTAGAAGAGGGTCATCATTGAAAGACTGGGGAAAAGATTATTACAGTAACCTAGTAACAAAGGCCTAATGTTGTGCAGTTACAATGGGAATGGGCAAAAGCAGACAAATGCAAGAGAAATTTAGGATTTAGACAAACCCAGAATTAAAGATTAAGTAAGGGCAGAGGTGGTTGTGAGAAAGAGAGACCTGGATGACTCCTTCAAGAATGGAGCTGAAGAAGTTATGGTCTGGCCACTTATTATCTAAGTGCTTTCCTATATCCTACCAACATGCAAAAAACCTTCTAAAGACACAAAAAGATCAAGAAAAAGTAGAATATGAAGCCAAGCTAGGTATGAATTCTTTGCTTCTGAGCAATATCTTCAGAAAATGGGTTTATTCAATTAAAACTTCAGGGATCAAACATCACAATAAAAGTTAATAGAATAGTGGTGATATGATTGCTTTAGGAAAAGTTATTAAGTAACTTACCACAAGAAAACCTGGCCTTGAAATAAGGTGGTGTGGGGTGGGGAGAATATGTGTGAGAAGCTCCTTTAAATTAAATCCCTCACAAGAGTAACCAAATGATCTATCCTTGACTCACAGCATTCACTAACCAGTACACAAGAAGAAAAAGTCACTTTATAGTTGACAGGAAAAAGGATGCCCACAGAAAAACTGCGTAAATCCTACATTTGCATACATGTAAAAAACTGCCTCACTGAAGTTTTTAAATTAGCAAATATATAAACTGAAATACAAAACACTCTTGGATAATCTTCCATTATTTTCCAGTTTTTCAAAGATCCTAAATAATAAAATGATAAGCATAAGTTATACATTTGATAGCAGCACATATTATACATTTTACTTTCCTAATGATTTAAAAATTCTCTTAGAGATATTTTTATTTTAATACTCACATTAAACTCATTTTAATACTCACAATAAAACTGATGAAAGTGTTCCATTGTTGGCATTCCAGGAACAAAGTTATAGAGGTGAAATTTCAAAGCATCACTCTTCAGCAAGCTATAAGCCATCTCTGTAAGATTGATTCCAACTATTGCATAAGAATACCTATGTCAGAAATATTATCAGTTATACCAGCTAGCCAAATAGCTCATAAAGTAAATTTTAAATTATGCAAGGAATTAGTAAAAAGTTATTCTGATCCATTTCTAACACAGTACTGATTTCACAATAATCTCTACATATTAAGAAAGTAAACCAGAACAGATGAAAAATTCTGTTCTTTAGAGGCTGTTGATTTTCTGGATATAATCTAAGAAATAAAAATAAAGCTCTGGTCACATGAATATCTAGAACCAAAAGCCTTACAAAAAATTAAAGAGTACTACATACACTCTCACTGATTTCTAAAATACATTGGGTAATCTGACATTTCCTCCTCCATTATCTGAGTATTTATTTTTATGATGAAATAGTGTTGTGTGATATTTTTTCAAAGATAGGGATCACTGGAATATAAAAAAAAATGATAAGACTAATAATATGACCTCAATTTGCATTTTGCTTTACAAGTTTCAAAGCTATTTCTCATTTTCCTATTCCTATTTCAAAGCTGTTTCCTCTTTCTATTTTTAAATGTTTCTCAGAAAAATTTTTATAAGGTCCTTATATCTATTTTATAGACTATATCTTGTGCTAAAAATATACTGAAATACATCCAAAATTGGTTTATGATCACACTCAGCCTTAAAAATAATATATCATGTAATAGCCTTTATAAAGTTCTTATTAATTAAAATCTCACTTTAAAAATACCTTCAGATAGTTTCAAATTCAGATCCTCCAATCAACTTAAATTTATGAGCTTACAGTTTCTTTAATATATCCAGCTTACCCTAATTTTGGATGATTTGAACGGGAAAGAATCTGATGAGCTTCACTGGTATAATTTTCACTGAAATATCTGAAAAATTTTGAGAAAAATAATGAAATTAACATGTCATTCAAATTGAAGACATCCAGAAGCAATTTTAAAAGCTACTGTCAAAATGACAGTCCTACTGCCAAATCATCCTGATCTCCATCTCAAACCACTTCAATGACTAGAGATGCTTCTGAATCAAAACTTAATTCTTACAAAAATGAATATATGTGTGTATATGTATGACTGAAACATGCTGCACACCAGAAATTGACACAATATTGTAAATTGACTATACTTCAGTAAAAAAATGAAAAATACAACTTAATTCTGAGCTATCAGGCCTATCTAGTATGGGACATAGGCCCTTGGCTAGACTTTGAAGTATTCTGACAAACAAGTGGTCTAACAAGAGACTTTTTATCTGCCTTAAAAAAAATTTAGACTTCCATTTGTTTGTTCTAAATTTTCTATAAAATAGTCATCGTGTACCTGTTGGGACACTTCCTTTCACCTGAGCTTATTCCTTCTGTTGCAGTTTATATCTGTATTGTTTAATGCTACTGACAGTGCAATCAGAAGAAAGTCATTAACATTCCTTCTACGTTACGTAACTAAAACACTGGCCATAAAACATAAGTATCAGCTGGTACAACAGAGAAATATATAAAGCTATTTGTAGGTTCATATATCCTAATACTAATAAACTAATGCAACCTCTGAGTTCTTCAAGCTAGGCATCAAATCTTCCGTTCACAATTGGAATCTCCTCATAAGGCACTGATACTCATACACAAAAGACTGACCGCATGTTTATGTAAGAATAACAAGTAGAGTAAAACATGGATTTCTGTGGTTTATTTAAATTTTAAAGGGCATAATCATTGAAATTTTCATGAAGCATAGAAATTTCTAACTAAATGTTCCTTCTCTATTTCTCCTTCTGTAGATTAACACCACAGACTTCCATTTTTTCTTCACTGGCTCTGATTTTCAGCCCATTAAAACAGCGTATATTAACTTAGAAGCCCATGAATAAAGGATCATTCATGAATAAAAGGGGATCCATGAACCACCTTAAATTTATTCATACATTTTTCTGTGTGTACATTTTCCAGGCAAAGAATATACACAACTTTCATCAGATTCTCAAAGGGGACCTGTAAATCCCCAAACAGAAAAACGTCCTGTTTTAGTGCCATGCTGTCTTCACATGCTCTAATTGTCTACTTTATTCCTAGTCTGGCTCTAAAATGCCCTTAGTAAATAGACTATATTTAATTTTTTTACATGATACTCCTAATACAATTCGGTTTTACATCATTATTTCAATAATCAAGCTACCTTAAAAATATTCAGTCTGTAAAACTTTTAATTTCCTTGCTGAGCCCCTATCTTAACAGTGTCTAAGGAAAACAAGCACGTATGCAGCAAGGAAGCGTATTCCTTACAATCACCTGGAATGACTTATTTTCCTTCTTTCTTCCCTTCTCCTTCTTCCTTTTTACACTCTCTCCTGTCCTATATAACATTTTTGGCCTTAACTTGTATATTTTACTTTCTGCTTCTATTTCCTCATCTATTTAGGTTTTTCTAATATCTCTTGAATTAATTTTTCTGTACAACATCCTCTTTGCTTCTACACCTGCCTCAGCATTCACTAGCATGGTTATCTATCAAACTACCAGCTATCCTTTAAAGCCACAAAAATTTCAAGAGATTTGATGACAAAGGCCAAGAAATTTTTAAAATTCATTATGTAAGGGTGTCTGAACAGCTCTCCTGCTTCTTGACTGTATCTTTATTTTGACCCTGAAGAGTCATAGCTCCATACACAGAACAAAAATAGTCAGAGAGGAATTAGAGCTAGTTTTATGTTTTCAACCATCTCTAGTACATCAATGGCAATCAAATAATATATCTGAATTCTGGTCATTTTTCAAGTTAGTAGATACTAGCTCTAAATAGAGTAAAAATCTTGTAAAGCATTTAAAGATCTATCAGAATCCCTTACCGGAGTCTTGAATGAAATCCTGTAAGTTATTTAAATTTTAAGCTAAATTAAATTCTCTTCTAGTAAACGCTGAGAAATCTTGATTTCTGAGGAAACGAGCCAAAAGCAAGGTTACTCAGCAAAAGTTAAGAAAGGAAACACCAGAAGAATGTGTATCTAATTGAGGTTCAATTATCTGTGTAGTTACAAGTACCAAGAAGAAAGATGGTCTTTAAAGGCTAAGAACAAAAGATCAATATGTTCTGAACAATGAATTTTAAAATACTTTATAATTTTTCCAAGTGAAAACACATTGCATTTATTCTACTTAAATTCCGAATGGTAGTTTCTGTTTATCAAAGTGGAAAACTGGCAATCTCATTTTTGTAATTATAATTATTAAGACTACTGGGTTTTATCTTTGAGAAGTAGACATACAAGGAATTTTCATACTCATAAACTTAGGTATCATGGAAAATTAAATACTTTTATAATTAAAAATAATTATAGATGGTGAAGCCCTACTGTATCTTCTATTTTGCCCCACAACACCCTTATCCCTACTGACCTAGGTATTTTTCCTCAATATTAACATAATCTAGCTCAGTTTCAGGATTAATTTTTTCATAGTAACAATTATTCAAACTTTGTTAATGGCTAGGGTTTCCATTCTAGGTACTGTAGAGTCTATAAATCACAATTCAAGGATAGACCCAAACACTAGAATCTCTCCATCTGCATATTCATATCCATATTAACCTTACAGTTTATTTTCTAAAACAGTTTTGACTATCAATTCTGATTTTAGTTGCATATTTTGAGATTTCATATGTGTGCCCAAGCATAAGTATTAAAGAGAAAAAAAAAGAGGGAGCTCATATGGCCTCTGAAAAGTGAGATGTAGATCACTCATCACAGATGGCAAAGAATAAGTGTGAAGAGGCTTTATTATCATCTCTGGTTATATCTCCTAAGTAGAATCAGAGAGCCAAGAGAGAAGAGGCAGGAGGATAAAAAGAGTGAGAAGAGAGTACACATAGTCCCTTAAAAGGCATCAGAAAGGAGGTCAGGAAGAGAAAGAAAGAGGAAAGTTATTGGTAAGTAAAGCAGTCACACACACACAAAGTATGTGGTCAACGTCTTCATATTGTTGCCAGCACATTAGTAAATACTTTAAGCACAACAGCTATTAAAATTCAGAGAAAGTATGAAACAACTGGATTAATTCTTACTAGAATTTAACAAGATTGGAGATTACATGTAATTTCATTTACAGAAGAAAAGAAAGTTTATTTTCACTTACACAAGATTGATTAATCCAAGCAGGCCCATGCCTCTGAAGTCTGTTTTGGGATCATCACCCTGGAAACCAATGTCAGCCCACTGCTTGGAGATTCTGGCCTTCAACTTTTTCGTGGGCATTAGAAGATTCCAAAGCTGTACAAATATGCTTCCATATTACAAATAATAGTGATGCTCTTCATTTACCAAGACATTTTCCTTCTCATAGCTGATGTACTAGTAACTTGAACGCTTTCAACTAAGCAACTTTTGTAGACAAATCATAGGCTCAGTGAAGGCTGTATTTAAAGAACTTTTCAATTATCCTAAAAAATGTAACATACTTATTCCAATTCAAAAGATTGATATAAAGAACAGTAGACTTTAAAAAGGCAACAAATACACAAAATTCTAAGACAATGAGATGTCTTTACTGACTAAGTAACATATATATATCAGAATTGGTAAACTGCTTCCTGGAGAAGAACACAGTGCTAGCCAGGCACTGCCGGCAACTGGCTCTTCACCTCTAAAGGAGTTTCATGATGAATCACCAAGATGAAAATTCCCTTGACTGAAATGCTAGGACTTGTGTCTTACCCCTTCAAAAGGGAAAGTACTGCACAGAAAGGGTCTGAAGTTAAGGAAATAGTGATGACAAGGAGGATATAAAGAGTGGTCCAGCCTCAGGGAGTGCCAGGCACTATTCTAACACTTTAAATATAAAAATTCAATCCACAGCAACAGCCCTTTAGGTATTTTTATTATCCTCATTGACAAAGTCAAGTTTTATTTTTAATTTTAAAATTAGTTGAAGTGTATATTTATACTCTTTCTGAAAAAAAGTAAAAGGTTTTATTGTTCTTAAGCTTGTCTCTTACTGTTACTCAGATGCTATCAACATACTTTTCCCCAGCACTTTTAGTTTTAGCAAATGCCTAACTTCAGGCGCAATGTGCCATTTTCCCTAATTTTAACCATTTAAAAACACAACCAGAATAGGTGAAGTGGATGGGCAGGTGACTCAGCTGTACTTCAGAATTCACCATTCTAGGACCTTCTAAAGCAAATTACCTCTAGGCCCTAGAACTGACCTCATCCCTAAAATGAACGTTCTAGATCAGATGATCTGGAAAGCTTACTCCAGGTCTAATATTCTCTCATTTCGGCATCTCACTGGCCTTATGCACTCATACTTCAGGAACAAGAAACAGGAAGGTTCAGGCAAGTTTATTTACTCACCAAACATACACCACCAAAACTTACCTTGAGAAGGAGCTTTTCATGTTGCAGGTTATCGGAATCATACGGCCTTTTTCTCACATTCTCTACAGACAGATAGAGCTGTTTATAACCGGATATCTGCAGTAAGCATGCCTTCATGCAGATTTTAAAACTGAAAAGGATAAAATTATTATTTTTTAAATCATACCTTCTTACCACAATAAAGTAATGCCTTCCCCAGTCTGTGGTTCGTATGTTTATTTAGAAAGCACTTCCTAGCCTGCACTTTAACACAATAAGCATCAAGAGCTTCTGCAAACACAAAACATTATACAAAGTATTATCACGAGGATACCATCAAATAGGGCCTAGAAAGAGGGCAAGACAGGGTAGGAAAGGCAAACCTTGCAAATCCTTGATTTGTCCTCTTCTTTTCATGTTTTCTCTAGGCAATTTCAGGCATTCCCAAATCTCTATTACCAGATGCTACCAACAGACCTAAGTTTCTAAGTATATAGCAGCACACAGCTCCATGACAGGTCATGCCAGTCGTCCCACACGCAACAGCTTATCTGCCCTGAAGAAACATGCCCCTTTTTTAACTGAGGCTTTACATCTATTAATGAGCTCACTAAGCATGTACTTCCCCAAGCTAGAATGCTCCGAGTTCTGAACTTCCTCTCCATCAACAAGACATCAACAGGTCCCCAAGCCCTTATCCTTTCTATCTCTGAAACGTCCCTCAAAGCCCTCATCATATATCCACTTACCCTGGTGAATTTATGGCTTCAGTAAATTTATGGCTTCATTGTCTCATACCTGAATGACTCCGTTTCCTAACTGTTCTAACTTTATTCCTTCTACCAGCCTCCAACATCCTCAAATTTACCCTCCATCTTCCTAAAAGATTTATCTGATAATATATCAAGTTTGTTCACTTGAAAAAAAAATAAATCAGAGGACAACACCTAAATCTCAGTGTGGCACACGAGACTCCTTGCAGTGGATCTCCAAGCTCACACTCCACTCACTTCTCCAACCTCTGCTCTGCACCTATTCAATGCTCCAGCTACAGAGGACTCCTTGTCATTCCCAGATACTCAAGGACTCTGTACCTTGTCGGCACTGTTCCTCTGCACGGAATGTCCTCCTCTACCCATTCAACAAGATCCAGCCTCTGTGGAATTATAGTCTCAGTTCCCTCCTGTACCCTTCCCTGTTCCAGCCAAAATAAATGACTCCTTCCTCAATATTTACATAGAAAATAGAGAATGAAGAAAAAAATTGCTCAATACTATCTCAATATACTTGAGCTGGGAACACAAAAATGGAGTAAGTCTGGTCCTTCTCCTATGGAACTTAGAATTTACTGGGGGAAGAACAAGAGCAAATCAGTGTCTACAGGACAACGGGCTAAATGCTATGATCGAGGACCTTCCTGGAGGAGGACAGAGGAACTGAATCTTGAAGGACAAGAAGGACACAGGAGCCAAAGTTATTTAACTTTGGGAAAGTGATGGTAAGTTTCCTTAAAGAAGGCAGGTGACTAACTGGCAAGAGTACTGGGTTGGGAACTAAAAGATAGAGCCTTTAGTCCTACTTCTATCACTCACCTCTCTGGACCTCACTTCCTCAGTGAGGGAGGAAAAGGGATAAATTTGATGACCTTCCAAATCTTTTGCTCTAATGTTTCACAACGTGTGTGATCTCCAACCTCGCAGGATGCGAGTGCATGAGAAACAAGAAAACTGTAAAAACACATACCTGATGTCTTTCTCAGGGTTAATATTCTTTTCCTTCATTATATCTTCTACACATCTGTCCACTTCACTCTGAACAACATGTGTCGCTTTCTGTAAAATCTATATATGGGGAAAAAAAGCTGAATGAGAAAAATTCCTTAGAGCTGAAAAACAACAGTAAGTTTGAGGTGTTTGGCCAACTTTATAATGTATGTATTAAAATGCAAAAAAAAAAAGAAACCAAATTTGTTTCAAATTTTCAGTAGAGCTAAAATCATAGATATATACATATATACATTCATAAGATAGAAGAAAGCAGCATGATGTATCAGATGAAGTCCTTTTAACTGAGAATCAACAGGTTCTCAGCTGATAGTCTTAGCAAATAAGCTACCCCAACACTGTGCTTATGAAGCAGACACTTTTTATAAAATTTAAGTTACATAATAAAAATATATGTACAAAAATGATGCAGAAGTAAAAAAAAAAAAGTAATGCAGAAGAGCAAAAAGAAGAAAAGTCAAGTAATCCTGTAAATCCTACCATGAAGACAGCTACTAGTAACAGATCAGCATATGTCCTTCCAGTCTTTTTTTCTATGCATATAAAACAGACTTCTTAAATAATACAGCCTGTAAATGTCCACCAGATCCTTCCTTTCAACAAAAGCAAATTCAGGCTTTCCTTACCCTTAAAAGGTTTCCTTAACTTTTATGCCTCTGTAAGCTACTATGAAAATTCCCTGATATTCTTTATACTCCAGGCAAAAGAATCTAATCCTACCTGGAGTTCAGCCTCTGCATATCCTGGGCCTTTCTTCTGAATGCTCCTTTCCCCAATCTCTAAATATATTAATCCTTCCCAGTTTTAAGCTAGCTCACTTACCAGATCCAGGAAGCATTCTCTGATTCTATTCAAGTGGAATTAATCTCTCCTCTCTTGGAATTCCCATAATAATTTATCTGTAATCTTTCTATGACTCCTACCACTTTCTATATTATAGTTATTTGTGTATATTAAGTGGAAAATTCTCTGAGGACAGAGACTATACCTAGCTCATCTTTTCACATCCTGCATTTAAGAAATAACTGACAAATAATTATTGAACAGAAACATTCAATGGATGAAAACCTTAAGAAAGGCAACTGTTTCAGTGAAAGACATATATAGCAATGCATAAGATTATTTTAAAAGAAGGAAGGAAGAGAGAGAGAAAGGAAGGGAGGGCTGGAGGGAAGGAAGGAAACTTAGGGTTGGAAGAAAAGGAAGGAAAAGGAAACTAAAGCAAACTAAAAAAGTGAGAAGGAAAATGATCAAAGACTTAAAATCAGTAGGATGCAGATGTGGTCACCAAGGTCTAGTTGGTCAAGCCCTGGGATAATATGGCTAAAGGAAATGTCCTGAAGCTTAAAACACTAGAACCAGTAAAAGGGTTACCTTCACCATGGGTAGAAACTTTTGCACAAACTACAAACACCTAAAACATGAAAAACCCAGTCAAACGTCCCCTCTTCTGTGAAGTCTTCCTCCCTGGAGTTAACCGCCACCCTGACGCTCACCCCCTCAGGTAGAGAGCACTTGCTACACCATAGCTGTTTACTCTTCAGTAGACTTTGTCTCTTTTATTTGCTCTTACATTGTGAATGAATGACTAGCTAATTGAATGAACTTGCCCAAAACACATAAATTTAGAGACAGAGTTCAGACTAGAAATGATGTCTTATCTCTCAGGAAATACTTTTGCCTATATACACTATTCCATTCCTTTTCTTTAAATTGAGGTGTAATTTTAATACAATGAAAGGAACGGATGTCATATTCAGTTTGATCAGTTTTGACAGATCCACATACCCCAATAATCAACATCCTGATCAAAATACAGAATACTTCCATCGCCCCAGAAAGTTCCCTCACTCCCCCTTCCCAATCAATCCCTCCTCCAAAAAGCAACCACTGTTCTGATTTCTATCACAACTTTGTAGTGTGCATATAAATAGAATCATAAAGTACGTACTCTTCTGTGTCTGGCTTCTTTTGTTCAACATGTTTCTAGGATTCATCCATACTCTTGCTTTCATCAGTAATTTGTTCCTTCCAATTGCTGCGTAGTACTCCACTGTATGAATACACCTCAGTTTGCTTATTCATTCTCCTGGTGATGGGTATTTGCATCATTTCCAATTTTAGACTACTACAAATAATATTTTTTTTTCTTTGTGAAGTGACTATTTGAGGCTTTCGCCCTTTTAAAAGCTGTTTTTTATTACTGAGTTCTAAAAGTTCTTTACTAGGTATAAGTCCCCAATCAGATATGTGTGCTGCAAATACTCTGTCTGTTGCTTGCCTATTCATTTTTTAAAGGCATCCTTGATAGGTAGTTTTTATTTTGATGAAGTCTAATCTCTCTTAAGCGATAGCACTGTGTCTTCTCCAAAAGAAATTCTTGCTTAACTTATGGTGGAAGATACATATTCTCCTGTGCATTCTTTGAGAAGCCTTAAAGTTTTAGTTTAAACATAGGTCTAAACTCCATATCAGATTAATTTTCACATGTGGAGGGAGACAGGAACTAAGCCTCTCCACCCCACCCCCAATTTGGGTATCCAGTTGTTCCAGCATTATTTCTTGCTTTTCCAATACTTTCCTGTCCTCACTGAATTAACTTGCTTTAGTATCTTTGTTAAAAAGTATGCATGTATTTCTGTTCTCTCATCTGTTATATTTATCTACTTGCCTAGAAAGTCTTGAAGTCAGGTAGATTAAGTCTTCTAACTCTATTCTTTTAGAAGTTTATTTGGGCTAAACCAGGTCTCTTAAAATTTTGTATAAACTTTAAGTGACCTTGACACTCTCTTCAAAAATAGCTTGCTGTGATTTTGATTGGAATTGCATTGAAACCATAGGTTTAGTTTGAGGATTAGCACCTTAACAACATTGACTCTTCCAATTGATGAATACAATAATATCTTTCCATTTTAACTTTTCTCAGGAAAAGTTTTATTGTGTTAGTCTTGCATATCTTTCATTAAATGTATCCCTGAGTATCTTATGTTTCTGGATGCTACCATAAATGGAACTGTTCTTTTTTTTTTTGTTTTCCAAGTTTGTTCTTAATGTATAGAAGTAGACTGTGCCTCATGACATTGCTAAATTCACTTAATAATGCTAGTAGTTTTTGTAGATTTCTTAGGATTTTCTATACTCACAAACTGTCATCTGTTAGTAAAGACAGCTTTCCCTCTTTCTTTTCAATTATTATGTCTTAGATTTCTTTTCCTCGCCTTACTATGCTGCCTAGGACCTCTAGAACAATGCTGAACAAAAGGAGAGTAAACATTCTTGCCTTGTTCTCAACTGAATGTGGACAGCATTCAATATTTTAGTGTCGTCTATCATGTGAGCTGCAGGTTTTCCATAGACAGCCTTTAATAGGATGAGGAAGTTCCATTTATTTCCTAGTTAGTTGGGTGTTTTTAATCATGAATGGGTATTGAGTTCTGCCAAATAGTTTTCCAGTATCTACTGAAATGATCCTATTTTTCTAATTTACTTTGTTAATGTGGTAAGTTGCATTCATTGATTTTGAAAACTTAATCATGATATGTTATTCTTTTCATACATTACTAGGATCAATTTGCTAATGAAGAATTTTTGCATCTATATTCATAAAGGATATTGATTTGTAATTTTCTTTTATTATATTGTCCTTGTCTGGTTTTAGTATCAGGATTAAACTTGCCTCATAAAATGTGCTGCTTCCTACTTGATGTTCTAGGAGTTTATGTAATAGCTGTATTATTTTTTTCTTTTACTGATTTAGTCTTTTACTAGTCAATATAAGAATAACATATACATGAGTGAATTTTTAAGGGGGAAGAGTCTAGAGTCCTACTCTTTTGTTCAAAATCTTATAGAGTGATTACTGTTTTTTTTTTTTAAATGAGATTGTAGGGATCTAGAAAGTTAACAAGCTGCTGGTTCCAAAAATTTGTTAATATGTATCTACCCCTATAGTTCCACTAATTGAAGTTTAGGATGCACTTTCACAAAGTAACAGTATCATAAATTGTAGCTGAATCTTCGGAGAGGTTCTGGAACTGCGAACTCAGTTTCAGATTTTTGGAGGGCATACTCCAAAAGAAATGTCAACAAATGGGTAGTTAAATACTTACTGAATTAAGTAACAGGAGCTTTGTTTCTCAAAGTTTTAAATCTAAAGTAAACTTGTCAATAAGCTAATGGAGGAAGTCTCATCAGTTTAAACATGTACTTTATGGTGTGTATTGCATCTCATTTGTGTATTTCATTTATTTTGTAGAGTAAAATTGAATTGATTTTGTGTTTTTTTATTAATCTGATCTACTTTTTTATTTCTATGAAAAGTCTGGGTGCAGATTCTGATTTTATTATTTCTCAGTTGTTTGACTTTGTGCAAGTTACTTATTTTCTCATGGTAAAAGTATTAATACCAACATGGTTGTTTTAGGATTAGTCTAAGAGAATGCCCAGCATTTGATAGGTATCCAAAAAATAGGAGTTACTAGTAATATTAGTGATGATGGGATTAAATCAATATATACTACACAGTTTTTAGAAGTTTGAAATACATGAAAACCTCTTAGTTATTTAAATACTTTACTGATGATTGCTGTGCATAAATGTGATTTTAATCTATTAAGGCCAGTTCCTAAAGCAATGGTAGCGTGGTCCTATGGAGTTGTGAACTGTTCCATATGGGGATTCTTTCTTTGATTGTTAAAGATTGAGTTTCATTTGCTTGTATTTTAATTAGGACCACTCATCAGTTGTTATTTAGGGTTATTAAATGTTGGGATTTATCAATGAAAATGAAAACCTTATTAGAACTTGAGTCTAGTTCAGTATTCTTCTAAGAGGTCTGGCTGATAGTCAACGTATAATTTTGCAAAGCTCCACTGTACTTATGGTTATATGAGTATTTGAAAAATCTGAAATTTAGGAAAAAAATACTTTGTCAGTCTAATAGTGTTTTTGATTGGCTGTTTTTCGATTGCAGCTGCTGTATTAGCTCTTAAATATTAATGACAACATTCTAGCTACTGAATGATAAATTAGTTTTATGGCATCAATTTAGTGTTCTGTGGTTTGATGGTATAGTAATACACATTTGCATATTTTTTGTCTCTATAATTTTCCAAAAACTAGATTTTAAGTACCTAATCTTCAAGTATATAACCACATAGGCATTGTGATTCAAAAATGAAACATTCACATTCTGTGAATATATGAATACAAACGTATATGTAATTTCCCCAAATTTGCTTGCAGAGTGAAACTCACTGCTGATATTATAAATGTGCGCTAGTCATATAATTTGTAACCTACCATCAAGGCAGGTGTAATAAAAGACTATATTACTTTTATGTTCATTGAATGTTGTTTTATAATCAAATCATATGCATAAGCATGTATTATTTTCTTATAAAATATATGTGAGTTGTGTATATTGCTCTCTTGTTTATTATCACCTACTTTTTCTTCAGCTCAAAAGTAAACATTGCTGAGAAAAGGGTCTTTGAGTGCTTACATAGTTTGAGATTAAGAAAGAAAGTTTTAGAATTGCTGACCTGCGTTACTCTATATTCCAGTATTGAATGAGATCCATGAGAACTTAGACAGTGTTGTAATGGGTTATATTTCTCCTCCATTCAGCATGTTAATTTGTTTTTGATTGGGAATCAAAGACCTACCAAAAGTTTAGAGAATAAACTAGAGATTGACAGTTGAATAAAAAAGCAAGACCTAACTAACTGCATGTTGTTTCAGGAAGCATATTCTAAAGATAAACACACAAACGTATAGAAAGTAAAAGCATATACTATGCAAACGATAAGCATAAAAAGGCTGCTGCAGCTTTCTTTCAGAAAGTATAAACTTGGAGCATTAACAGAGACTAAATCTTTTTTGTTATTGTTGTTGATTATAGAAGGGTTAATTTATCAAGAACATGTAACAGTGTTAAAAGTGTATGCACTTATTAACAAAGCTGTCATAATACTTGAAGCAAAAACTGACTTAACCAAAGGGAGAAATGTATGAATCCACAATCGTAGCTGGAAACTTTAACACACTTCTCTCATTAATTGATAGTACAAAAAGAAAAAAAAATCAGAAGGGTCTATATAATTTTAACAATACTATTAGCCATCTTGATCAATTAACATTTATAGACTGCTACACCCAACAAATGCAAAATACATATTCTCAAGTACACATGGAACATTCATATAGATATATCATATCCCAGGTCTTTAAACATGTCTCAGTAAGTTTCAAAGGGCTGAATATTTACAGAGTATGTTTTCTGTCCCCAATAGTACTAAATTAGAAATAAGAAAAATGTAACATCTAGAAAATCCCTAAATACCTGCAATTTAAAAATCTGAGTAACCCATGGATCAGAGAAGCACTAATAAGGAAAATTTACAAAGAAAATTGAGCTGAATGATAGTGAAAACACAACATATCAAATTTTGTGAAGTACACCCAAAGTAGTTTTTAAAGGCCTGAAATCAGTGAGCTATGCTTATTCCTTAAGAAACTAGAAGACAGAAAACTAAATCCAAAGTAAATAAAAGAAAGGACATAATAAAAATAGGATTAAAAAAATTAACAAAATAGTAAACAGATAAAAATAGGAAATATCAACAAACTCAAATTGTGATTCTTTGAAAAGATTAATAATACTAATAACCCTCTAGGAACACTGATCAAGAAAGAGAGGAAAGCCAAATTGCCAATAGCAGGAATGACAGAGGGGGCATTACTACAGCCTATAGTCACTAAAATATAAGGAAATAGTATGGACAACTTTATGCCAATAAATTCGATAGCTTAGATGAAAGAGATAAAGTGCTTTTAAAAAACATAGTTTATCAAAACTAACACAAAAAGAAATGTAAAAAACCTAAATAGTCATATGCCTAATAAATGGAATCTGTAATTTTAAAATTTTGCATTAAAAAAATCCTCTGATATTAGCTTCGCTAGTGAACTCCTATCAAACTGATATGCCTGTGACATTCAACAATGTCCATTTTCTTTCTGGCATGAATCAGTGACTTGTATCAAAACCACTAGACAGCAGCAAGTCAATATTTTTTAACCCTATATTCTTGATCCACAATGTACACCATGACCAAATACAAACATATATATGGATATCTAAAATACAGATGCACACACATATAGATAACTAAAATTAAATTTTCATAAAATGGTATTTAACCTTACTATGACCAGTGTTTCTAATTATTTTCTATTCCATTCCTTTTGTTGTGATTTACTATGGGATTTCAAACAATGGTCTAGATGACCCATACTCCACCTTTGCCACAGCAAATTGAGAGAAAAATATTGTGAATTACTACAGGGAAATACAGCATGAATTACTGGTCCCCATTTTTCACTCCCCTATAATTGAACTATATACCCACATGCCTAACACGGCCTTATGGCGGGGATAATGCACTTCCACCCTGTGACTTGGGCTTGGCCATGTAACTTACTTTAGGGATATTAATGGCCATGACACAAGGAAGCTCAAAATATGTCTGTGTGGTTGGACCCTCAATGATCCACTGTGAGAACGTTTCCCAGGTACCTTTTCAACCTGGGTCCCAGAATGAGACAGCTGGAACAGACCTAAACTTGGCAACAGCTTGAAGAAGAGCCTCTCCAGTTGGCCCACAGACACAAGAGCAAGAAATGAATCATATGTTGTTATAAGCCCTGAGATTGTATAACTTTGTTACACAGCATCACCTGACTGATAAATAGCATGAGGTATAATTTATTTTGGATTAAAAGGAACATGACCCAGGGTTTTCTATAATTATCCAAAATTCATTGCTTTTCTCTCACACAAGAACCTACCCTAAGGACACAGTCCATAAGAAGGTTTTCCCAAGACCCTGCTTTCCCAAAAGCTATCAAGTTTTGAAGTCAAAAAACAAGCAAAACTTCAGAATAGGACAAATTATTCAAATACTTTCTTTGTGCAGGAGTAGCACACATGCACACACACATACAGAGAGAAAAACGTTTTAAACATAGAATATTACTTCTAAAGTGTGAAGGTTTCATTCAATACTCTTTATAGCAAAGACTCTTCTAGCAGGACATTTAAAATAATTAATTCTAAAAGTGAGGCATTCTTTTAAAGAAAATGTATCTTCAAGTTAAATTTTCTAGAATTGTTACCTTGATATGATCCTACCTTATTCTTGGAGCATGTCAAGGAATTTTCTGAAATGAAAAAGGAAAAAGAATATTATTACTTAAATGCTATTTGTGATTTACTCCATAAACAAATAGTATAAATATCAAGCTAGTAGTAAATTAAGTTCTAGAAGACATAATTTCTACATGAATAACATAGAAAACAGTTTACAATTTTATCCTTACAGTATTAGTATAATTCCAAAATCTTCAGCCCTACACAACATACCAGAGCCAAAGAGGTGAGACCAACCTAATTTCCCCAGAATCATGTTTCTGTGCAGACTCCAAAGTGTCTACCAACATGGCTGCCTCAGAATAGCTTGGGTTCCAGAAACTCATCTTAAGAACAGTGAGAGTGCTCTATATTACATTTTATTCACGTGTTAGCCTTAGGAAGTAAGCATTTATATTTAAGGAGCTAGCAAATGAAGCACACAACAATAAAGGGACAAAAATGAAGACTTTAAATTATTTGGACAACCATCCTCTAATCAAAGAGCAAAATAGCTTTTCTGTTCTTGTTTTCTGCTTCAAGAATAACAAGAATAGTTTTTACTGGTCTATTTACAAATTTTTCTGGCAAATAGTAAACAGTCTCCTTTTCTCAGCAATTCGAGAAATTCAAGAAAAAATGCTCTTGCCACAAAATAAAGCCTTAATATGTTCTTCCCCCATGCTATAAAACACTAACCGATGTTGCTAAGATTTCTTATCAAGAGGTACTCTGTTCTTCTCAGAGCAGTCAAAAGGGCAAGAGGAGGCGATAATTTCAGTCAGCCACAAAGTTGTGAAAAACCTAGGGAAGGAATTAAACTTCAATCATCCAGCTGCCCTGAGGCTTACTCCCTCTTTACGTCTGTCATTTGTCTCCTGTCGTCTTGGATACCAACACCCAATCCTCAGCTCTTACAGGGCTGGATCTCTTAGTTGAAGCACACTTATTCAACACAAAAGAGGCTCTGGTTGAGTCATGATTTTTCATTTAACACAGTGAACATGAACATGAACTGATCCCTGGGATTCCTGACTCTGGCCAAAGGGAAATGACCTCCATCCTACTTCTCTCTCATCTGTGTTCTTATTTACAGCACTGTTTTCAAATTTAAAGCAATATTTTCTATCAAGCATTAAAAGCCGATAGTTTAGAAGGTACTGGAGCAGTACCGTTCAACAGAAATATAATACAAGCCAAATGTGAATCACATATATACTCTAAAATTTTCTAGTAGCCATGTTAGAGTAAAAGAAACAGATAAAATTAATGTTAATACATTTTAGCCCTATATATCCAAATATTATTTCAGTATACAATGAATATAAGTAATTATTGAGATACTTTTACATTCTTTTTTCATATAAAGCCATTGAAATCCAGCGTATATCTTACACTTCTGCACATTTCAATTCATATTAATCACATTTCAGTGTGGCTACTGGCTATAGTACAGGACACAGCAGATTTTGAGCTTAATCATCTTTCCCAGGGATCACTAGATATCTACTATTGTTCTTTTATGAATTAGATGAGATTACAAGACTCTCTAATGAAAGATGAATATAAAAATGGATCTAGATCCAAATACTCTCTTCCCCCTCACTTGAGTGAAAATTTCAAAAGGCTTATATAAAGCGCAGAGATTTTTTCTAGAAAGTAGGCTGCAACTATAATCTAAGGTACAACTGATGAATTTCAGGAGCCAGAAAAGATAATGCTTTGCATGGATGAATAATCAAATAATAATTCGCTTCTTTTATATAACCAGTTTTAGAGCTGGAAGGATTCAAAGCTAGATTTCAAACATCATGAAACTGAGATTAAGTGCCTTGCTCATGATACACAAGTATATCTGTCACTATCAGTACTGAGAAAAAAATATTCATTCAGAGTTAAATTTTTATTTTTTTAATTATTTTTTGAAAAACATTACCTATCCTGTGTGTCCTTTGTGCACCTACATAGGTATCAAAAATTCGCTGCAATTCACATTTTCCAGTCATCTGTCGTAAGAGCCATTTCATCCAAAATCGAAAAAAGTGCCCATAGAAGAACTCCCACAAAGAAATAAACATTTTTTTTTCCTGGAGAAGGAAATATATGACAGGTTTAATGACCTTATATTGGATTTTTAAAAAAGGAAAAGTTACAGTTTATCCAACTCATTAAATCCCCAAA